GTTAAAGCGCTGGACATTCGCCTTTCATCCTCTCGATTTCGTTAACAACAGTAATGCCACGAGAAGGCAGTGAGTAGGACTTCCCCTGCAGAGGCTATATACGTGTGGCCATGTGAGAGAATTTGGAGGGGGAGAGCAGACTCTCCCCACTCTCGGCCGTACCACGGCATTTGCAGTCTTCCGCCTAAATACATAATCACATATATCATTCTTTCCAATTTATACTATCTGCTTTTATTTGTTTACTGTCTTCTTGATTAATGTTTGTCATCTGAGTATAAATTTCTGATGAGCTTGATGTTAGTATTAGTAGATAGCAGTTACATCAATCACATTTGATTACTATTTCATTAGAACGTTTTTTACTCGTTAAGATGAAACCAAACGTTATTTACACATAGACGTTTACGTTTATGTTAAGCCAATATCTTTATAAAATATTACAAAGTTGTACTTAGAATTAAATTAAAGAAACTTATTTACGTCTGATACCCTTTCAGAGGAGCATAGGCTGACCACCAGCATTCTCCAACCAACTCTGCTCTGGGCAATCTTTTCCAGCTCTTTCATGTTGCTATTCATACTTTTCATATCTGCTTTCAATCCCCGATTCAATGTGTTCTTTGGTCTTCCGCTTTTCCGTTTCGCTTCACAATTCCAAGTTAGCGCTTGAATCTTGATGTGGTTTGACGATTTCTTAAATGTGTGTCTGATCCATTTCCAACGTCTTTTCCTAATTTCCTCTTCAAATGGTCTGTTCTCTTCTACGAACAACTGAATATGAGACATCCTAGTTTAGTTTATTAGAAGGCTAAACACATGTAATTGCTATTCACTAATTAACTTGTTTCGAAAACAGATTTTTACATTTAAAGTAACTAATACATATGACCCGTAATGTTTGCACTGAATATTAAGATGAGTGACTACAAACTAAACCTAGTATAGTTAACGATTATCGAACGCGTTTGACCAATAAGCCTATTCAAGTCATCTGACATAAATCTGAGATTAACTAACATTTCCTGCCAAAAATTTCAATCTTTTCTGGTAAGGACAGAAAGTTAAATGACATTTGTTAATCCCTTTGATTTGGAATAGCATTTACACCACCGTGATTTTTTGTATTTTTTAAGATTTCTAACCAATTGTTCAAACAATAGGATTAACCTTTTATTAGAGTGAGTAGGCCTTCACAAACACATGGGAAAAGCAACATCCTCAAATACAACACGGAAAACACTAACATCATCACACTTGATGGAGAATTTCTACAAGGGGTGGAAACATTCACGCATCTGGACAACAACAACATCCATGAACGTGGATGATCTGATGCAGATGTACAGGCAATGATTGACAAGGTAAGGACAGCAACCCTACAGTTGAACAACATATGCAACTCAAAACAACTGTCTGTCAACCAATATCAAAGTCGGAATCTTCAATATGAACGTCAAGACAGCTCTACAGTATGGAGCTGAAACTCGGAAAAATACTACAACCATTATCAAAACTGTACACGTATTTATAAACAATTGTCTACACAAGATACTCAATGTCCGTTGACCGGATACTATCAGCAACAGTGTACTTTCAGAGAAGACAAACCAGCTTCCATCTAGAGAGTAAGTTAGAAAAAGATGTTGGAAGTGAATAGAACATACATTACGGAAATCATCAAACTGCATCATGAGGCAAGCGCTAACTTAGAATAGGAAACGAAAGTGGAAAAGTGGAAGACCAAATAACACAGTGTCAGAAATTAGAAGCACACATGAAAATAATGATTAGCGTTTTGAAAGAAGTGGAAAGGATTGTCCAAGACGGTGTTCGATAAAGAATGTTGGTGGTCGGCCTATGCTCCTCCATGAGGGGTAACAGGCATAAGTAATTAAATAAGTTCATTAGAGTCAACGGTTTAATTATATTAGTAAATAGTGTAATACAATTTGTGATTGTGATTTTTAAGTTGTAATGTGAATTTCTTGTATAGTTTTCTTCATTAATACTTTACATTTACTCGAAAGTGCATACCTCTCTCCATTACTTGCGATACGTGATTTCACTTAAACCTATGGAGATCATTGTTATATAAACTTTGACACCAGTTTTCATTTTCTACATTAATAGTTTCTTAATCAATCAATCAATGGAATCATTGTAAAAACTGTCGATTATAAAGGATTAGTTATTTATCACGGATTACATAAATGGGTCACTAACACTAATAACAATATAATGACTATAACAGAATAATATTGTTCAATTTATTAATCAATTATGAACTATGATCATTCAACTACAATTCATGATTACCATTTCTTGAATGTTAAACATAAATTGTATGTCAAAAAGTATACGGTCATTATTACAGGACTCTGAGCAGAACGATAGATAGTGTTAATCTCAGTCATAAAAACATGTACAAGAGTATGATGATAGTGGATATTCAATTCAGCAACAAAATCAATCTCAATCATCTACTGGTACTCAGAATCATGGTCTATAAACCATCCAACAACAAACTCAACAAGACAACCCAAAAACTTCACAAACTTACAATCCAATTCAAAATCCTAATAACCTACAACCAGTTTTTACATTACCAATGATTAATGAATTAAACTAGTATGGTGATTTACCATTTCCAATCAATCAAACACAGACAACATCAGATTCACAGATTTCTAATCAATCAGAACGACTTGGTTCGTTCCAATTCTCATCGTAGACCTTTATTTCTGAATAGTAATGCTAACATCAGGTTTTCATAGGCGTTTATTATAATTCGTAAAAGTCGGGTTTATAAATTCTGGCTGAGAATCAGTTGAATAATGATTAGTCAATATTTTAAATGCTTTGTCGTAAATATTTACAGTTGATGGATCACTAGGTGGTAAACAATGTCATGTATATCAGGTCCTTCTTAGTGCACATCGAATCCTATCGATGAAGTTGCAATGTGGCCGCTAGTCTAGGCGACTCGAATATCGCTTGCACTATGTTGAGATAAGATGGTGATTGTCTTAAATACTTTAATAATGTGCTTTTCGAATGCTGGAATAATTTTCTCATACTTTAATGTAAAATAATGTTTGAAATGAGTCAGTTAGTCAACAATTACAATGATTGATCATCTTATTACTTTTAGAATTAATTAAAGTTAGCTATGTGAGCTACGAGATTTCAAATATGTGCTAGACTTCAGATATAAATATAGTAGGTTTAATCAAGCATCTTTGAGTAGTCCCAGACTGGGACTAAACATTTAATGAAGAAGACATAAATTTAGTTGGATTGTGATGCCTCAAGAAAGAATATATCAATAAATAGAACAAATCTGAGTTTTTTCTGACCTTTCTTAAATACAATCGATATTCTGTTCTGAAACACTTCTCTGAATTGTAATATTTGAAACAGTAAATGTTTATTGTATCAAGCAGTATTAAATTCAATGCTCTAAAGAGGCCGACAGATGTCAGCTTGTCAGATGTTATTTCTCATATGTATAACGCAAGCGTTTATGTATAATGACGGAAATCAACCACATATTCACTGACTACAGATATCAACACCATTCACACAGTCATTAGTTAACTTCAAAGTAACCAAAACGATCTACTGTGATTTCATTATAAGAGTCAACTTAAAACAACACAAGTGGAATATAAGGATCAGTAACGAGAACATTTATTAGTCAGATTCATTTTGGAGACACAGTTGAACGAAACAAAGTCACGCAAAATAATCATTACACAGGATGATTTCGATCAAGTTTATCATCAAATCATCCATTCAAACTTCAACGTGAATAATCTCGAACTTTCATGAATAATAATAATATACATCATTTTCCACTGTCACTTCAGTTTGTGAACCGTTCTTTAGACTATCTACATGATTATGGTTTCGATTTCACAACGTTGCTCTTTCCTACTTGATTTCCATAACCTGAATAATATAAACATTAACCACTATGATACCATTTGATCTACTTGTCAAAATTCTCATCACAATGAATGTGGCAATTGATTAATATTTCTTAGATGTTGACCAGACAATCTAATTAATACATGATCGCAATTTCCGACTAATTGGATGAAATTGTGTGTATGAATGTAATGTAAAGATTTAAATAGTTGTCAAATGACTAAAACACGATTGTGGTTAGTAATGTTCATAAACAGTTGAAAAACCAATTGGAAAACTTGTTAAGTCGTCGTGAATGAAACCAATCGATGGGCACTGCTATTCACATACATGTCATCAACGATGTACAGCAGAAGTGAAACGTTAAATTGACTCATCGAATAATGTTGTTTCATTCAAACAAAAATTAGGGGAATGGTAACTCCCATAACTATTATTACTTATACACATATGTCCATTCTTACCATATAATTAATAAGTAACGATATCATACATAAATATATATACATTACTTTTATCAAAAGCTTTCGACTAACAAATTAACTACCGAAGAATGATTAACCACTATTAATCTGTTGCCAGTTTATTATTCAGTCTTCCCTACTCACAGACACTTTTCGGTTTGATCATGTGTAGATGTTATTTTCCATTTTATGGTGTGGTCTGGTGCGGTGTGGTCGTATGTGTATCGATAAAAAATATAATATTCGTATAGTGGAGGTTGGTTACCAATTTCTCGAATGAATGTAGGACAAATAAGGACTTGTCATCGACTCAAAGCCACAAGTGTCGGTTGGTATGTCATTGCTTAGCTCAAGAACAAAGTCATAGAGATCGATATTGTAATAGTTGTTTTGTCATGTGATATTAATGATCGGTCATAATTCATCACAAATATAAAGCTGATTGTATACTTAAGAACTGAAGGTCATTTGTGTCAAATCAGACTGATATTATATAGTAACAATAGTAACAGTGGATTGTGATTGATTAGATGATAAGTGGAAAGTTTGTTGTTTGTTCGATATTTGAGTGTCTGACTACACCTGTGATTCTTCCAATGGTTGTTATTGTAGTCGCTGGAGCTGTTGACCGGATAATGGAGAATCTGGAGGTAGATGAGATTCGAGTGACTGTGTCGGTTCACTAGAGAATGAATTGTCAAATTCCGAATGCTGGTCAACTATTGGATTTGACACATTAGGAATCGGTGAATCGGATACTTGGAACAGATCAAACGATTGTGGTTGTACAAATAGCAAACCATCAACATTGGATTGTGACTGATCGGATTGTGGCGATGAATCGGGTTGACGTTGTGAGTCGATTCCAGGCTGTAACGGTTGTGATGATTGATTTTGACCATTCTGTATTGCTCGAAACTGTTCAGATAATGATGGTTGTACCAATAGCCAACCATCAACATTGGATTGTGACTGATCGGATTGTGGCGATGAATCGGGTTGACGTTGTGAGTCGATTCCAGGCTGTAACGGTTGTGATGATTGATTTTGACCATTCTGTATTGCTCGAAACTGTTCAGATAATGGTGGTTGTACCAATAGCCAACCATCAACATTGGATTGTGACTGATCGGATTGTGGTGATGAATCGGGTTGACGTTGTGAGTCGATTCCAGACTGTGACGGTTGTGATGATTGATTTTGACCATTCTGTATTGCTCGAAACTGTTCAGATAATGATGGTTGTACCAATAGCCAACCATCAACATTGGATTGTGACTGATCGGATTGTGGCGATGAATCGGGTTGACGTTGTGAGTCGATTCCAGACTGTGACGGTTGTGATGATTGCTTTTGACCATTCTGTAATACTCGAAACTGTTCAGATAATGGTGGCTGTGCCAATAGCAAACCATCAACATTGGATTGTGACTGATCGGATTGTGGTGATGAATCGGGTTGACGTTGTGGGTCGATTCCAGGCTGTAACGGTTGTGATGATTGATTTTGACCATTCTGTATTGCTCGAAACTGTTCAGATAATGATGGTTGTACCAATAGCCAACCATCAACATTGGATTGTGACTGATCGGATTGTGGCGATGAATCGGGTTGACGTTGTGAGTCGATTCCAGGCTGTAACGGTTGTGATGATTGATTTTGACCATTCTGTATTGCTCGAAACTGTTCAGATAATGATGGTTGTACCAATAGCCAACCATCAACATTGGATTGTGACTGATCGGATTGTGGTGATGAATCGGGTTGACGTTGTGAGTCGATTCCAGACTGTGACGGTTGTGATGATTGATTTTGACCATTCTGTAATACTCGAAACTGTTCAGATAATGGTGGTTGTACCAATAGCAAATCATCAACATTAGATTGTGACTGATCGGATTGTGACGATGAATCGAGTTTTTGAGAATTTGCTTCATTCTGAATTCGTTGTGTTCGTTGTATTTCACTATCCTGATATTCCTGAGGTAGTTCTGTTGATTGTTCTTGTTGTTGTTGATGATGATTATCAGTTATTGAATGACCAACGCTATTTCGTGACTGACTAGGTAATTCTGGTTGATTATATATCTGTGAATCGAATGGTTGTTGTGTTTGATCAGCTGAAATTTGTAAATCATCATTTTGGTTTGGTTGAATAATCATTGGTAATGTATTTATTGGTTGCAAGTTTCCAGAATTTATCGATTGATGTTGAGCTTGTGATTGCATTGAATTGAATTGTTGATTTTGTTGTTGAATTTGCTGCTGAATAATTTGTTGTCCATTGTTGTAATTGTTAGTAAATGATTGTGTTTGACTTTGTTTTTGAATTGAATGTCCACTTGTATTAAATGTTTGTACTTGACTTTGTGATTGAAATGAACCGGTATTTTGTTTCAATGTCCATATATTATTTGATATAGGAATACAATTGATGTATATATTCGAAGATACAATAATCATTATTAACATTGAATTAATCATGATTCATGGATAATTATCAGATCAACGTTTTATTCACTATACTAAAATGATCATATACAACTGATTAGAATATATACAGTAATCTATTTATATAATTCATTGTAAATAATTAATCTTTTATAATCTATACTTTTAATGAAAAATTCATCCAATTAACATATGAGTTAATGACATTATTCATTTTTGACAAGATAACAAACATGCAAAAGAGAAAGAGACAGGTGGGGTAATCGTTTCTAAGTATAACAATTACAATGTTATTTTCTGTTAAGATATCAATATGAAACATGTTAGAAAGATTTTATACGTAAACAAATAGACTGTAGATCACCAACGTAGATGATTGATATCGAATGATCGGAAGCCTACTCGAGTTAAACGGGAATGGCGTGACGAACCAGATAACGTCAAAGTCACACCTCTTGGTCAGCACCTTACATGGACTACCCCATTGATGTATCAATGTACCACAGGTGCTTTGAAGACTGTACAACACAGAGGACGTTATTACGGAAATACATTAGTTAAAGTAGATACAAACGAAAGTAAGACCACTGCTGCATGGGCCAGTCCATTGCATACGATTAACTGATGCGCATTGGTTGTCTTTGATCTTGACGAGGAACGATGATTCGTTCGATATTCAATGACCCAACTGCATGATGATTTGGCTAGGGCTCAGTGGAATTTCATTGGCCCTACAAGACAGATAAAGATTTATTTAATACCTAAAATAAAGTTTAATAATGTACTTCTTTGAAATTTTATTTACCTTTCACTGTTATTATTGTAGTGAATGAGAACACAAGTGGAAGACAATCGAATGTATCTATATTACAAAATTACAGAATTTCTGAGTAAAATCTGAAAATTATACAGTAAATACTTAATTTGTAAAATATTTTAATCAACTGTCTTATACTTGACTTTTTCTTTGTAAATGTCAATCCTTTGTCTTAGACTTCATTGTTTCTTCATTATCATATCAATCGCTTTCTGTTTCCGTTCTTTCTTTCTCAACCTTCTGTTGCTAGATATTTTATTCCTGAATAGCCTTATATACTACTTATGTTGATATAAGTAGCACATACAACACCAGCATTCACTTTGTCATATGTGTTGAGGTTCATGTTATCTTACAAATTTTCAAACTAAATGCATTGAATTCGCTACAATATGTTTTATATTATATGTATTCTCTTTTAAGCTTACATATGAACTTTAAAAACTTATAATATCTGAAGAGTATGGCTTATTTTTTCCATCTTATATTTTTATGGTAATGTCTATCAAGAATATTTTTGATAAGTCTTACCTGCAAAATGGTATGGCTGTTATGTAACTTTCGGCTACTTTAAAATAACTTCATAATGATAATGGTGTTGGGATACCCAGAAGAATATCCCAGAAACAATTATCCGGTTAAGTCTAATGCTACCCTTGAACGTTAAATGGTGTCATTTCCCTATTGGACGTTTCCCTACTGATCAATATTTATTTCGCGTGTCATTTTCCTATTGGTCAATATTATTTAACGTGTCATCTTTCTGTTGGTCAATATTTATAGTAATCCTAACTGTATAAATATGCATTTGTTTGTAAATCATTATTCTGCTGCTCCTGACCCCATAAACGATTTTTCATCTACGGTTCGTGTTCTGATATATTGGAGATTGGGAACAGTATTGGGGTCGAACTGGGATATCTGAAGCTTGTCAATTGGTAGAATTTAGAGTAGCCAACTCGCGATTCACAATAAATTTGGCGACGGAGATTTAGCAACAAGTTGGTGATTAACTATGGATCCAGCCAAATTAGAGAAATTGTTCGAACAGCAGCTGAAGCTGATGGAGATGCTTACTCAAACGCACATATCTTCTCGAGTCCCAACTGCACCGACAATTCCTGAATCAGTTGATGGTATTACCAGTGGTATTTCAGAATTTCTTTATGATCCTGATGCCAACATTACATTTGATACCTGGTTCAGACGTTATGAAGACCTTTTCAAAGTTGACTTTGTTGACAGAGATGATTCGTGGAAGGTGCGTCTTCTTCTCCGTAAACTTGGTCCATCCGAGCTGGATAAGTATTGCAATTTCATTCTACCGCAGAACCCACGCGACCGTTCATTCGACGCCACTATTCAGTCCCTTAGCCAACTTTTTGGTGATCATCACTCACTCTTCAGTACCCGATATCGCTGCTTAAAACTGGTCATGAATGAATCTGATGACTTCCTGACCCACGTCGGCGTTGTTAACCGTGAGTGCGAACGGTTCAAGCTCAGATCCCTCACTGAAGACCAATTCAAGTCCCTAATACTCATATGCAGTCTTCAGTCACCCAAATTCTCCGACATCAGAACTCGGTTGCTCAACCGCCTTGAACAAGATCCAACACTGACACTTAATGCGATCATAGACGAATACCAGCGTATCATCAATCTGCAGCGTGACATCACTTTGGTTCAATCTGGGGGCCAGGGTGGTTCCGAAGTTCATGCTGTTCAGCACCAGAAAAAATCTTCGAGATCGACAAACTCGAGTCCTTCGAACGCCAGCGCTGTTTCTATCTCTAATCACTCTAAACCGGTTCAGAAGAAACCCCCCTCGCCATGTTGGCACTGTGGAGCCTGGCATTATGTGAAGTTCTGTCCATTCAAACAGCATGTGTGCGATCGCTGTCAGAAAGTTGGTCACAAAAGCGGCTTTTGCAAATCCAACCGATTCAATAACCGTCGAAATGCACAGACGCAGCGTCGTTTTCACAAAAAGCCGATTACCTCATCAAGGAGTTTAGCAGCAGTCTTCCATACCCATGCCGCGACTCGACGCAAATTTCTGACCCTCTCAATCAATGGTCAGCCTGTTCGTTTGCAGTTGGACACTGCATCAGATATCACCATTTTGTCGAAAAAGACTTGGCGAACCTTGGGTCAACCTCCCATCAAATCATCCTCTCAAACAGCCGTCAGTGCTTGTGGGGGTCATCTCCGCCTTCATGGTGAACTCTGTTGCTGTATTTCATTCAGAGGTACAACCTTCAATGGGACATGTTACATCACCGATTCTCCGCTCAACCTTTTGGGTTTAGATTGGTTCGAAGAACTTGGTCTCGCTGATCTTCCTATTAGCGCTGTCTGCAATCAAGTCCAAACTACTGCTTCTACACAACAGCATACTGAAGACCTTCGAAAACGATTTATTGAATTATTTAAGCCTGGTCTCGGACTTTGTTCCACAACTGAAGCTGTTTTAAAACTGCAGCCAGAAGCTACGCCAGTTTTTCGCCCAAAGCGTCCAGTCCCATACGCATCTTTACCTCTGGTTGACGCTGAACTTCAACGTTTGGAAACTGAAGGTGTCCTAGTACCTGTTTCTTATTCAGCATGGGCTGCACCAATTGTGGTTGTAGAAAAATCCAATGGCTCCATTCGCATCTGTGCAGACTTTTCTACAGGACTCAACGCGGCTCTACAACAGCATCACTATCCGCTGCCGATCCCAGATGACTTATTTACTATTTTAAATGGTGGTACCTATTTTGCTAAGCTGGATCTGGCAGACGCTTACCTTCAAATTCCAGTCGCTCTAGAATCCAGAGAGTTGTTGACAATCAACACTCACCGAGGACTTTTTCAGTATACCCGGTTACCCTTCGGTATCAAAACTGCTCCAGCGATCTTCCAGCAGATCATGGACACTATTCTGGCAGATGTTCCTGGTGTTGCTACATACCTTGACGATGTGCTCATTGTCGGCTCAACTGTTGATGAATTGCATACCAGAACCCACTTAGTTCTGCAACGCCTCCAGGATAATGGTTTTCGCCTTCGCCCAGAAAAATGCCAATTCTTCTTACGTTTCGTTAAGTACCTGGGGTTTATCTTTGATGCTTCCGGACGACACCCTGATCCTCAAAATACGTACGCAATCCAACAAATGCCTGCTCCCACTGATGTCTCCTCACTGCGATCATTTTTGGGAATGATTAGCTACTATTCAGCATTTCTTCCATCACTGCATGACGTACGATATCCATTAAATCGTCTGCTAGAAAAGAATGCTACTTGGAACTGGTCAACGCAATGTGAATCAGCTTTTTCAAAACTTAAAGCCATACTAAGTTCCAATCTTCTGCTAACCCACTACAATCCGAAACTACCCATTGTGGTTGCTGCTGACGCTTCAACACATGGACTGGGTGCCGTAATCTCACATGTCTTTCCCGACGGGTCAGAGAAAGCGGTGATGCACGCTTCGAGAACACTAACACCTGCTGAGAAACGCTACGGCCAGATAGAGAAGGAAGCGTTAGCCCTAATTTTTGCTGTCCGGCGATTCCACAAATTCATTTATGGGCGCCGTTTCACCTTGCTCACAGACCACAAACCTTTGTTATCAATCTTTGGATCAAAGAATGGCATTCCTGCCCATTCGGCTAATCGTCTGCAACGTTGGGCGTTGGCGTTATTGGGGTACGACTTCGACATCCAGTATCGACGTTCCGAAGATTTTGGTCAAGCGGATGCACTGTCCAGACTTATCAGTAACCATTCTACCACTGATGAGGACACACTCATAGCCACAGTATCAACCGAAGAGGATTCCGGTGCTACACTATTGGCGAATGCCGTTCGAGCAATGCCTGTTACCGCTGAAGATGTTCGGGAAGCTACCAGAGAAGACCCGATTATCCAAGAAGCGATCACCTATGTTCAGAGCAGATGGCCAGTTAAGCAGCTGAGTGGTGATATGCAACAATTAGCGAATCGTCGCAGCGCTCTCTGTATTGTTAACGATTGTCTGATGTTCGGTGATCGCGTAGTAATTCCAACAACCCTACGTTCCAAAGTCCTACGCCAATTTCACTCTGGACACCCAGGGATAAACCGTATGAAATCTATCGCTCGAAGCTATGCATATTGGCCAAATATGGACAAACAGATTGTCGACTTCGTCAAAAGATGTTCACAT